ATTCTGATATCAATATCAACACTCAAGTTCAGATACATTTGGATAAAGACTATCAAGAAGAAAGAAATAGGTTTCCAGGTTTTCATTGTTAGCCGTCAAATAAATTTAATAAAATAATAAAATACCACAAATTCATTCTTTTCTGAATGCTCTCGAATCTTACATATACAACTCATTTAAGAACTGTAAAAATTTTTTCGATTCATTTCAAAAGAGGCATATTCATTGATTGAAGTCAAACATATACACCATTCGAAACCAGTTTAGTGGTCTAGAATGTGAGTATTCACACTCGAGAATGAAGCTCCTGGGTCCGGTTATAATTAAGGTTTTTGGATGTATACTATTGAGGACTCTCATATGAAGATGTAACAACTGGCCAGTGCTACCTGGCTTTCATTGATGACATAAATAAAATCAGTTCACGATTTCATCCATGAAATTGGTATCCGGTTGCCTTTATCCTTTGTTACATATTTAATTAGTGAATATTGTGTAACAATAGTTCACTTGTTATTGCATATCAATTCTTTCAACTAATTAACCTAATAAATATCAAGTCAAATGGTTTTATCATTACAGTATGTTTCATTTTGTGGAAATTAATATAAGTAATTCATTGTTTGTAATAATACTATTACGAAGAGTTTATACCTGTTACCACCCTTATTTAATTAAGTACGTTTTTAAAAAGATAGGGTGTGTTTTATTTGTTCTCATGATCTTTTTGTTCACATTTATTACTTTATTTATATTGATAATTCCATGGTAATGTGATAACTTTTTACTTGCATATTCAATGTCTTGATGACATGTTTGCATGACAGCATACCATTATATATATATATATATAGACTACAAATAATCGATTCTTCTATTTATAAAGATGATGACATTACTTTTTATTTCACCTTTAGTCATCTAATAATTTCTTGGTTGAAAATACAGATATATCGAAGAATTTCGGAGAATTTCTTCTAAGCAAACTATGTTTTAAACCATAATAGATCAATGAAGTTATCGGTTTCATAATGTGATTCAGAATGTTTAGTCTTAGAATTTTCGTTCAAACATATAAAATGCTTATAGTTGAGATTATGAGTCAATTGAAGCTAGACCACCATGGATAACTTGAAAGCACTGGATAGCCGTCCAGGATGGTCTAGCTTCAATTGATTCATGATCTCAACTATTAAAATTACTGTAGTATCCACAAAACCCCTTTTAATGTATAAGGCTGTTAAACGTATAATTTAATAAATATATATCTATGATTATGTAGTCTTTTCAATCAGCTGTTTGTAAATGGATTCATATTTGTTGAAGTATAATAAAATGTTTAGCATTAAATTCATTCGGTATTGTTTGTTTGAGTCTTTCCATTAATGTTCAGGACTGCGATTGATCAGCTTCTTGATAATGTATGTGCATTCTGTGTAGATTGTCTCGAACACAGGCATCATCGTGGTACCAATATGATGATTAGAAGTATTCGAATTAATATACGAACTAGGAATTCCTGAAATGGCGTGATTCATAGCAAGATTCAAGCAAACAATATCAAATGAATTTAAACTTTACCCGATTGCACAAACAAGTGGCTATCAAGGCTCAGTAGTTAAGTGGATAACGTGATGGCGTTTGAGACGAACGGTACTTGGTTCGTGTATTGGGGTGAACATCAACTCTGGGATTCAGGTACATTCAGCCGACAAGTCCCAAATAGGATGAAATGAGCATCCTGGATTCCACTGTTAGTTACTATCCATCTTTGCTTGTAATGTTTAGTGTTGTTAAAGAAAATGTCAATAAAATGAATTCATGCATTGAAAAATATCAACTTACTTGTGCCTCTTACCCCTCGCAGAGGAGTATAGGCATAGCATAGAAGAAATTAATTAGAAATTTCCAAGTATTGTTTGATTTTACTGCATGATTCTTATTTGTAATCCGTTCTAAGTGATTATTCACCAAGAATCAATTTTGAAAAAGCGACTTGAATACTCAAACAAAAACATTTACTAATCAATAAAAGTTACAACGAACGTGCAAAAAACACTAGTTTCATTTTGATAAACAGAAGACGGAATACTTTACTGTTTTAGTCAATTTCTATGATCAAAAATAAATCATATGAGTCACATGACAACTGTCGATGTGTTTAGTTAGATTGTAGACACTAATAATGTCTATTAATTTACGAAAAGTGGTTTATATTGTTATAGTTACTTTGTACGGAGATTCATTCTGTCTTATGATCCGACAGTATCTCAGCAAATATCAAAAAGCCGGGAGCGATGAATAAATTAATCGTTTTAATTCTTTTACAACTCAGCAATGAACATTCACGAACTGATAGGCAGTCGAATTTACAAATTTCAGGTTTAGACTGATATCACTAAATAAAAATTTATTAATTCATATTCCCAGTTATCAGTGGCTTCTTTATTAAGTCTCCACCTGATTTTTAGTACACATAGAGAAATTAAATTATTCTGTACAAACCATCTTATGATGGATTAAACTGCAAAATCGTGCATGGAGGACAGTTGACCAAATCGTTTGAAGTAAAGACCGGTGTCAGGCAAGGTTGTTTACTCCCACCTTTTCTCTTTCTCCTGGTGATCAACCGGATCTTGAAGACGTCAACATCCGAAGGGAAGCACGGGATACAGTGGACAGCTAGGATGCAGCTGGAAGATCTAGACTTCGCAAATGGTCTGGCTCTTCTATCGTACACCCGAAAACAAATGCAGGAGTAGACGACCAGTGTAGCAGCAGTCTCAGCAGCAGTTGGTCTCAATATACACAAAGGGAAAAGCAGGATTCTCCGATACAACACAACATGCACTAGTCAAATCACAATTGATGAAGAAGATTTGCAAGATGTAAGTACCTTTACATATTTGGGCAGCATCATTGATGGACAGGGTGGATCTGATGCAGATGTGAAGGTGCGGATCAGCAGAGCAAGAGCAGCATATTTACAATTGAAGAATATCTGGAACTCAAAAGGACTGTCTGTCAACCAACACCAAGGTCAGGGTTTTCAATACAAATGTCAAAACAGTTCTACTCTATGGGGCAGAAACCTGGAGAACTACGAAATCCATCATCCAGAACATACAGGTGTTTATTAACAGTTGTCTACACAAAATACTTCGGATCTGTTGGCCAGACACTATTAGCAACAACGTACTGTGGGAGAGAACAAACGAGATTGCAGCGGAGGAAGAAATCAGGAAGAAGTGCAAGGAGTGGATAGGACACACATTGAGGAAAGCACCGAACTGCGTCACAAGACAAGCCCTCACACGGAATCCTGAAGGCCAAAGGAGGAGAAGAAGACTAAAGAACAGATTAAGCTAGGAAATGGAGATAGACATGAGGAAAATGAACAAGAATCGGATGGAACTAGAAAAGAAGGCCTAGGAGAGAGTGGGTTGACGAATGCTGGTCGGTGGCCTATGCTCCATTGGGAGTAACAGGCGTAAGTAAGTAAGTATGGAAGTTACAAACCATATGAATAATAATTATGTACCTACTAATAAGTAACGTAATAGTAAGTTTTCAAGATTTATTCATTCATAATATAATCAGCCATCTTGTTTTACTTCATAAACTACATAACTTACTAGAAATTCTGTAAACCAACTGGAGAGACTATAATTTATGGACGACCTTTGAACGAATCTTAAGCCAGCTTGAGAAATATTAGCCAATCAGCGAAAAGCCAGTATAGAGTAGAAATATATTATACAAAACCAAAGAAATAAAGTAGATACACTTCTTTTACGTGGTTCAAAAACTTGTCAAGGTTAAAAAGAGGTTCAGAGGTTCTAAAATCGTAATACATACAGTAGAGGAAATCATCCATACGGCTACAGAATAGTCGGCCTCTGGATCCATGATAGTCTCAAATACTCTTTCAGCCTCGACCACATAGCTTCAATATTGCTTATGTGCACTCCCGTTGTTGAGGGTACAAAATGCTACTTGTGGATAACGACACGATGCACATAACCAAGCCTATGTAGGAGTTAGTACGCTCTCCAAACACCCGTATATATTGTAGTACCTGGCTGCAGCCAGTGTTACTGGTGCTTTTATTATCCAGTTCGCAATAATTGTCATGATTTGCCTTAGTTAGGAATTATATATAGGGTTTTCATCACGAACTGACATCAGCTCTAATGCCAGAAATTTATTTAGCCAAATGGATGGAAATCCGAGATCTATTATCTTATACCTGGTTGTTTCGCCCATAAGTTATAGTTACGCCGTTTTATTTGTTATAGCCGCTCAATTATCACGTTTTGTACAAAATTCTCTGTGAACCGATCGTACGTTAGCATTAAGCACTGAAGTTGGTGCCATAACCTTGAAATCTCTAAAACGCCTCTGATTGGCTCATCCATAAATTAGAGTTTCACCAACCCACCTTTAATCTAATCACCATTAAACATACAATTCACATGATTAATGTGTAAAGACAGTTATTATTAAAGACTATTAGATAAAGTTACAATTCCTTAATTTCTATGTATCATTTGGAAAACATCATTCTACTGAATTAATATTTAAATAAACGAGTATATTAAAATCACTTTTTTCTTAAAAAATAAACAAAAAAGAGACATTCAGATTGGTTCAATTTAATTTAGAACATAATAAAATCAACTTAAGTTTTCTTATTGGCTAATATATAGATTGAGTTTTATTCATTGAAAGTCATTCTACAATAGATTCTATTATCTAAGTGCTAACAGGAGATAACTCTTAGTCTCCAAGACAAAGAAGAGGTGATCAAATGAAACTTTAGAATTGTTATATAATAATTGTAGTGTATGGTTAAAATTATTGACAGAAGATAAATGAAAAAAGCAAACAAACAAACCAAAACAAACAAACAACATTCCAGTGAACTCATTTGATTGTTTTTGATGATAAACAAATATATATATATATATATTATTATTGTTTCTTAATCATCAATTGAAATGACTTCATTGTATACTATTGAGACAGGATTTATTAAACTTAATAAAAAATATATTTTATGGATTTTATTATTAATGATTAGTAAATTTACTCATTTATCATTTATTGAATGTGATACATTTCAAAGTCATTTAATTTATTGGGATCCAGATAATATTGTGTAAGTGTATTTTTTTTTTGAATTTATGTATAGTATTCATAATTTAATATATATTGATGATGAGACTATAATTTATGGACGAAACAATCAGGTATAAAGATTTTAGTGTAAAATTCACTCATACATTTAGTTAAATAGAGATTTGGCATTATAATTAATGTTAGTTCGTGATGAAAACTCTAAATTTAATTCTTAACCTTAACCATCAATTGTAAATTATAACACTTGTTTAGTCCTAGTTATTAGGTGGACACTCCCAAGGTTAGTTTAGTGTCACTCAAAGGTCTTCGATAAATTATAGTTTCATCATATTGATTATAATATTCAACTGCGTTAAGAATACAAGTATGTAAATATAAGTAGTATAAACAGTGTTAAATGATGGTCGCACAATTTCGTGAATTGGTTGAAGTTAGATATTAACACCGTTTGATGCCGACCGGATCTGTGGTCTAGAGGTTAAGTGTTCACGCACGAGACCTAAGGTTCTGAGTTTGAATCGTACGTGCGAGGTCGTGGATGCACACTGTCGAAAAGTCCCATACTAGTATAAAACGGCTATCCAGTGCTCCCAGGTTTTCACTAGTGGTCTAACATTCAACGATTCATGATCTCAATCGGAAAATTGTTAAATGGAATCAATTCTTTTTATTTCATGTGAATTTACAAATTATATTTCCGTAAGAAAAAATTAGAATAAAATAACTCAGTTTATCTAATGTAAGTAGTAATAAATACACTCCATAATTTTACAACTTTTAATTATTTAGAAACAGAAAAACTTTAAAAAATGGTTTGTGACATGGTCAATTACAGTGGACATAAGTGTCGCCGATCAGATCAAGGAAATGAAGAAATTGATGTCAATTGTTGAAACAATTATAGCCGAGTTATAATGATAGTGACTGTGATAATGCTAATGAATAGTAATTGTTCAAAGCAATATGAAAATGTAAAGAAATGGCGATGGTTTAGATGATTAAGCAATAGTATCATATACATGTAAACTTAAGTAAATAACGAATGTGCTATTACAATAATATACCAGAGAGAATAGGACATGAATAGAAAGTATGTATTGACAATATTTAAAAACTAACATAAGATAACCATAACGAGAGGCATATTTACCACATACATTTTCTAAATGCATAGGTTCGATTTAGAAACACAAACCATCGCTAATACTGCTAAACGTAATAGTCTGTTATTGTCCCGTTCGGTGATGATCTGAAATTCTGTATCTGGTTCAAAATTTATACCAGTGTATGTAGTATCTCTGTTGTTTGTAATAATAAGGAGTTTATATTTACTAGCTGCTAAACTCATTGACTCATGTTCGGATATTCTTTTAGATGAAACTATTTTCATTCCTCCAACTTTTATGTTGAATAACTCTTACTGCCTCTAAAAGCTATTGAGCGACAATAAATGTTGGAATTGCTACTCATCAAGATTATGTTTGTGTGCAAATATTTACTGGGTAGGAGATTTTCTGTAACAAAAGTTGTCATCCTCTTCAGAAGAATTTGATTTTCTGGTGAACATTAATATCACTGTTATCAATGGCTGAATAATAGTTATTCAATCAAAGTTCAAAGTAAAGTTTAAGGAGAATTTATATCATGCAAAAAGTGAAACTTTATCCATTCAGATTAGTTTAACTATCTGGTCTGTTCATGTACAAAAGTTATGAGCTTAAATCTTAACTGATTTCAAAAATTCCCTAGAATTATAATGACGCGAATTCAACTGTTGAAGACTAACAAATGATTCCCTTTTTGGTTAGACTTATTCTTATCTAACAATTTTACATCGTTCTGTTCAGTTATTACCGAATTAATTTAAAAAATAAGGTTGTTTTAAAACTTAAATGAGTGGAATTATCCTTATTTTGTAGTAAACATCTCTGAGTTTTCTACTTGTTCATTACTGACTTACTTATGCCTATTACCATTCGTAAAGGAGCATAGGCTGCCCATCAGCATTCTCCATTCAACTCTATCCTTGTCAATCCTTTCTAGTTGTTTCCAGTTACTATTCCTTCTTTCGGTATCTGCTTTCAGTTCTCAATGCAGCGTGTTCTTTGGTCTTCCTTTTTTCTACCTAAAGCTCTTCTAAAGTTACTGCTAATCTCAAGCCCAAACAAAGAAGAAGGGTTAAACATGGGAATAGCATTCCCATCTTGTAGATAACAATCATGATTTGAAAAAAAATAACCAGAATAAACAAAATTATTTGTTCATAATTATTGTAAATCTTTTAATACTGTAACTTACTGGTAATATAATTATGAATTTATCATCTTTTCTATCATACAAATTCCTGTCACTAAGATAAACAGATAACTTCAATATTATATGGTATCTAGTCTAAATGATGTATCCCACAGTTTATACGTTTGATATTTATTTATTTGTATTATAAAATTAACAAATTTACATGTCAACTGTTAGGGAAGTTAAAGAAAAGATATCGAATAGATATATATATGTGAACTTATCTAGCTAGTTCAAACATAATATGATTGATCAAGGACACTTTAATAATATTGGAAATTCAGTCAAGAATTCATGTTCAAAATGAAGGATTTCTTTATGGAATATACTTTACTTCAGACTGTTTTTTTTCTTTCTTTTAAATTACGAGTATGTTAATGTTCTTTTAGACTGAAAGTAACAAAAGATAGACCATCAAATAAAATGAGTTAACAGTTTAGGGGTTGTGCAGATTGTTAAGCTTTTGATTGAAATCATGAGTCAGTTGAAGCTAGACCACCATAGAAAACCTGGAAGTACTGGACGGCCGTTTCGTCCTAGTGGTGTTAATGTCTAACATCAACCAATCTACGAAATCGCGCGATCATCTTACCATGTGCTCACTAATGACTAGCTTCGTGAGAAAAGTCTTGGAGTTCTGGTGAGAAGCTGTGACCAGTGGAGCTAGTCCGTGTCGCGTAGAAACAGGTGTCTACCTCAGTACAACTGAAGATGGTGGCGCAATTTCGTGGATTGCTTGAGGTTAGATATTAACACCATTAGATGCCGGCCCAGTGGTCTAGTTGGTTAAGCGCCTGGCGTGAGTCTGATAGGTCCTGGGTTCGGATCTCGTGAGGTACGGGATCGTGGACGCGCACTGCTATGGAGTCCAATACTAGGACGAAATGGCCTTCCAAAACTTTCAGGTTTTCCATAGTGATCTAGCTTCAACTGACTCATGATTTCAGTCAAAAAAGAATTAAAACTGTTATTAAAGTGTATAAAGTATATAAACTATTCTAATGTCATTATTAATAAGATTTAAATCATCTTATTTTTGATGTGCAGAACAGAATTTTTATCAGTCATTGTTGGTATATTTGTACTCCTTATGGATTACTTCGAAAATACAATAGAATAGTTGGATAGTAACTAACAGGAATCGTTTATCAGTTAGATGTCTTTATATACCAGTGTTTATGTTGACACATTGACTTGAATTCACTACTGCATTTAACCATCAGTGTGAATATGAACACTAAGATGAAGGTATATTCGACTGACGAGTCCCTAATGAAATGGAATATCAATCCTGGATTTCATTGCTAGCCATATTCCATCTATTCTATACAGCTAGTTATTGATTGGGGAACTGATATTACGGTTAATGTAAAAAATCAGTTAAGTAGTTAAACGCAAAATTAAAGTACATCCTAATTTCCTTAGTAATTTTCTTCTAAGAGTAAAAAGTTCATTCCTTTAATGTTTAATGTGAAGCGTGTTTCCGAAAGAATAAAGAAACAGCCTTTTAAATTCTGTATGAAATATGCTAAAATACTGGATCCACAAATTCAATCATTTGATTAACTGGAGTCAGTTTTTAGGGTTGGAGAACTTAGTTTTAATCAGTATCATTATGTATGTGTTTATAGGCAGTTCGTTTCAGTTACATAATAAACACTCTCTATACGTATTTCACTACTTTTCGTATGTTTATTTATCAGTAACACTATGAGTAAGTATAAAAAGATCGCAAAAAAACAAATGGAAATGCTGAAGCAACATTGAAAAATAGGAAGCATTATACTTTGTTTCATTAAAGTTTCCACAGAGATGATCCCATCAAAGAAAAAACATAGTAGTTCAAAGTCTTTTGGGAAACACAGTGTTTTTAAACCACGGAAGAGTAGTATCCCAGTCAAAATTCGCTTAAATCGCTGTACAGATCAAGGAAAGCCTAGTTTCTTTGATGTTACTTACATCATTTCCTTCACAGTTGAACTACACCAATCATTGATTCTCAGAAGAAATTTAGGAATTATTTTCTAACTTAGTTACTAGTAGACACATGACTACTTTATAGGACATGGGTCATTTTTATGTTTTTCTTTATCACGTTTAAAAGAAGTCACCGAAATTTTAACTACCAGATTCGAATTAAACAAAATCTGAACTAACCACTTATCTATAAAATGAATCATATTCAACCAAACTATAATTTGAAAAATTCCCATATTGTAAATTTAGAACAACATAGACATAAGCGAACAATATTGTTTTCGATTAGATCCTTCTCAGGCTTTACTCTAATATATAGTAATATTTATCGGCATATACGAAATTATTAAACCAATCAAGGTAATTTATAAGTCAATGATAACAATGGAAAAGATTACATAATAAGTAAAATGTGAAAAGTATTATTGATTGTATGAGGAATGATAGATATCCTAAAATATATTGGAAATGTTTACGCCGGAACAAAGTTTATCCGAATGCCAGAATCCTTAAACGGCATGCACTTAACCAAACGGATTCATTAAAATTACACATAAACAATCTAGAAAGAAATCTTTCACAAAGAGAATATATGCTCGATAACCTACCACCGGAAATAAAATCACAATTTATGGATTATAATAACATGGTGGCAAAAAGTAGATCAGAAAAACTCGGAACAAAACTGATTTAGTCACTGGAACCTCATAAACCTGAAAGAAAATTTCCTATGGACCCTGAGCG